TTCTGTGAGTTCTGTGACAGACCCAGTACCCTACCGAACTTTTCTGTGACAGCTCGCTTACAGAACTCGAAAGTTCTGTGAGTTCTGTGACGGCTCACCACAAAACCCTATAGTTCTGTGAGTTCTGTGACAGATCCCGTACCCTACCGAACGTACCCTCTGGTTCTGTACACCCGGGTCAACAATACCCGCGGTACGGGTAAACATTTGTGGAACTACCCTCCACAAGTGTGATTACCCCGGTGGGCTGACGTCACCTCTACGAACCAACTTAAAGCGTACCCTCTACCCTCACGAACTCCTACACAGACCGGCGGACCCTGCAGATCTGTCACACATGCCACACATCCCACAACGTACGGTATCGGTTTGACAGGTAACATGNTCCACAAGTGTGATTACCCCGGTGGGCTGACGTCACCTCTACGAACCAACTTAAAGCGTACCCTCTACCCTCACGAACTCCTACACAGACCGGCGGACCCTGCAGATCTGTCACACATGCCACACATCCCACAACGTACGGTATCGGTTTGACAGGTAACATGAGGCAGGTGTAGGCGAAGGTAGCGCTGGCGCGGGGCAGGGAGATTCACCCGAGGTAGAGGTTGTTGCCGGCGATAGCGCGGGGGGCGTACCCGTCATCCTACCAGCGCCCGCGGGTACCGCTGGTTCAGCGCTCACTTATTTATGAGACAGAAAGAGGTACTGGGTAGAGAGACCGGGATGGGTTTTTAAAGTGAAGACAACAACAACAACAACAACAACAACAACAACAACAACCGCGGGTTGGTACCGTCTTCGACTAGACTCCCCCACAAACGAGTTCTGTGAGTTCTGTGAAGGTCGCGCCGCAATACCCTATAGTTCTGTGAGTTCTGTGACAGACCCAGTACCCTACCGACCTTTCTGTGACAGCTCGCTTACAGAACTCGAAAATTCTGTAAGTTCTGTGACGGCGCACCACAATACCCCAGAGTTCTGTGAGTTCTGTGACAGAACCAGTACCCTACCGAACTTTTCTGTGAGTTCTGTGACAGACCCATTACTCTACCGAACGTACCCTTACCCTACAGAACCTACCCTTGCACATTTGCGTCTATGTACATGTATGTATTGTTGGCATCGAGTGCTCTGTGTTGTGAGTGTCTCTTTCGGTTTGCGTGAGTCCTTCTGCTATTCTTTGTCTTCGATTGTGTCATACCGGTGCTGCTGTGAACCGCGTGAATGCTCCCAACACTTGATACTATTGTTGTAATGCTGCATAAAAATGATTTTTGAGCCGCGTTTGCACGAAAAGTGTGCTAATTGGCAAGAACATGTCTGTATCAGTAAGTCGCCAGCGTGCCTCCGTACCAGGTTCGCCTCTTTTTTTGCCTTTCCGACATGCGTCTTCTTACATGCTGCCGTGCTGGCCTTACCCGCGGCAGCACTCTTTGTTGAACGAGCTAATGTTGCTATCTTTCAAACAACAAATAATAAACTCAACCAGGAATGAACAATACCTCCGCCCTCCGATGCCCTCCCTCCCCTATTTCTGTGCAGGTGGTGCGTACGCGTGGGGACGGCAGCACGGAGGAGATCGCTAACATCAATTTCGCCGCGCCTCCACCGCCTCAACCGACAGTGCCTTGTACGAAGTACAACCGTCGTTTCTTCAACACCAAGGGCCTTGGGGTGCACATCAAAACTGACCACGAGCGTGAAGCGAAAATCTCAGTTCAACGGTGGTGTTCAACGAACAGGAAGGGGGCGGGGGCATCATCTCTCCTCCCTTGGGGTGGGACACAGTCAGAACGTTGCTGGCACGTTGCGTTTCACCATGGAGAGAGTCGCGGATGCGGCGCGACATGTCCGCCAGGGTCCGTGACGTTTGTGCTGCAGCCTTTACGCCCTGGAGTCGAGCGGAACAACAAGCTCGTGAACGACGGCTTTTCACAAACGGAGTCGCCACCAAAGAAAACGTGTGGAGCAGCCTCAAGGAGACGGTACACCTCGCGCGAGAAGGTCGGTGTAATTCAGGAGCTGCGAGATCTAGAGTCGCAGTCAACGGAGGTTCGTGCGCACTTCGGTATGACCCCTCCCTATTACTTGGAGCATGAGTCAGGGATCTCGGCCAGCAGTATCAGCAAAGGGCAGAAGGATGAAGACTCTGTTACGGTTACATGGTTACGGTTGATAGGAGTTGCACCTTTGGGAGAATGCGTTGTTCCCAACAGGTACTAGCAGTAAGGTCCGGTTTGCGCGCATACTAGAGTACTCGTGATTCCTGTGTCTTGTTTTTTTTGTGGACGCGCATTTAACTGCTGTGCATAGCTGCCATGTGTATGCGTCCATGCGATTCTGCATACCTGTGTAGGGGAATGCAAAGGGCGTGGTTTTCTTGTGTTTTTTCCTCTCTCTGCCCGTTGGCGCCACCGCAATAGCTGTTTCTGTACCCGCGTGGATAGCTTGTTGCCACTGGACAGCTGAACTACTACCAGGTTGATAGGATCGAGTGAACACTGATGGGTCGTGTCTCTCGCACTTGCGGCCCCACAGCAGCACACCCCCCGTGCGGCAGCCAGAAACGATGATGGTGTGAAAAGTGCGTAAGGCCGATAACTCCGGGTCGACCTGCTCGCTTGTGTTGAACCTTGTGCATGTTTGGGATCATCCTCGTGACCTCTCCTCCCTGGTAAAGTCTCACATTCGGCAGTAACCTGTTGACCACTGTGGTTTCAGAACGCTATTTTGGTGGGGTTGGGCCTCTCCTAGGTTGCCCCTCCTTCCCACCCTACTTTCTGGTACCGCGGCGTCTGACGCTCGATCGTATCTCGATTAAAGCCGTCCTGATTGCCGCACGCCTGCGGTTCTATTCATGTGTGTAGTAGCTATTTTCTTTCGCTGGTTGGATACGTGTGCCGTACAAAGCATGGGGCTTTCGTTCCCATAGTGTTATATATATCAGCATCTTTTTTTACTATACAAGGCAATAAAAGATTAATTTGATTTTTTCTTCACGAAAGTAAACATCAAGTAACATTTTTTTTCTGCTGCTCCCTGAACGAGGTGTGCTGCTATCATCTTAGTATTAGGTGGTTGAATTGATTTTTTTTTATATGGCCCCAATCTTTTTTTTATTACGTTCTACAGTCTGGTTTGCCCTTTCCTTTTGATACTTCGCTCATATCCTACAGCAGTATTGATTTCAAATACATTACTTCAAAAAAAATCTTGTTCGTTTTTTTTTTGGTCGTCAGCGTTAAACTAGCTTTTTGTCTCGGTGGCTACTTTATTTTATTTTTTCCATCAACCACAAAGATATGGGCACTTGATATTTAATCCTTGGGTGTTTTCCTGGGCTTTTAAGTACTGTGATGTCGGTAACAAAACAAACTCTTGAGCCCTACAACGAGCAGGTAACATAAGATTCATAAGTGCATCGAAAAACTACTCGCTCTGTGTATACAATACAGTCACCTCTCTCTTTAGTGTCGCCCGCACTATCCCAACTGCTGTTGCCTGAGCCCAGCGTTCCGATGGCGCGCAGGGAGCGCCCGACTGTTCCGTAATAACGTTGTCGCTTTTTTTTTTGCATTTGAATTGTACGCCACGTGACATTCGCTTATGCTGTGCGCAAGCGCTTACCCTGCTAGTTGAACCCGTTTTTCGTGCGGCATTTCCATATTTTTTTATTGTATTCACAAACACTTTTCCCTTTTGAGGTCATTGCAACTGATGTTCGCTTGTATTTTCTTGCCGTGCATGCTCGTATCGTACTTTAGCCCGCGCTTAGTGACCTTGCATCGAATCTACTCCTTTCACATTGTTATCTCACACGACTCGCTCTCCGTCTGTCTCGCACTAGCAGCGATGTCCTCTTCTAACCATCAGGTGTTGTCGAGGGTTTCACCACCCGCGCGGTGGAAGCTGCGGCTGTGGGACCACAACCGCAGGACAGGCAGCTAGTGATGGTCTNGGTGTTGTCGAGGGGTGCCGTCGGCTCCGTCGATATGGACAACTCGTCCTCGGTGCGTCGCCAAGGTGCTGGGGAGAGGCGGTTGCCATTGCCCGGCTCCCTTGCCGACTATGGCGGATCGCGCGCCGCCCGGCGGGACGGCAGCCAGCACCGGAGCCGCAGCTGGAACCGGAGTCCCAGCGAGGAGGCCGAGGCCCCCGCCCTCGGCGAGGGCGGTAGCCGCAGGGCAGCCGAGCAGCCCGGTGACCGGCAGGATGGTCACCGCCGTCGGCGGGGCCGCTCACGGAGCCGTAGGACGCGTGCTCGTGCCCAGGACGAATCTGCCGCGGGTGGAAGCATCGACGACAAGGGTGGAGCCCCTCGTGGCGGCTCCCAACGATCGAGTCGTCGCAAGAGCTCCAGGCGTCCCACGAGTTCGAGTAGCCACAAGGGCTCTCGTAGCGAGCGCTCTCGTAGCCACAAGCTTAAACGTTCTCGCCCTCGCAGCCCTTCGCCTTCACCTAGCGACAGTAGTAATGGCAGTGGTAGCACCAGCAGCGACAGCGACTGCCTCCCCGAGAGTTCTAACCGCCACAAGGGCTCCCGTAGCGAGAGCCTACGTAGCTGCAAGCACAAACATTCTCGCCCGCGCAGCCCTTTGCCTCCGCCTCGCGATAGTAGCAGCGGCAGTGGTAGCAGCAGCAGCGACAGTGATGGTGACATTGATCCTGAACCACCCCGCCCGGCCCCCCGCGACCGCCGTCCCCGCTCTCGTTCCATTTCCCCTGCCTACGTCCACCGCCCACGCAAGCAGTCTCGCCGCCGTAGCCACACACTGGCTCCGAGCAGCTACGGGGGCGCGGTCCCGTCCTACGAGGGAGGGCCGGCAGTCAGAGACCCACGCGCTCTGAGGTGGGCCGACTCTGGTCGAGGTAAGCGCAGTCTCGATTCCAACCAGGCAGCTAAGCTGATTGATCGCATGCGTAAGAGGATCGCAGGAGACAAGCCGTGTCCAGTCTACGGCGGCCCTTCTTCCGGCCCTCTTACCATCGCCAACTCCGCTGTCATGCTGCAGGATAAGGTTATGAGTGTGCTTCGCAACGTCGAGTCGGGTAAAATGCGTTTGGAACCAGACGTGTACGTTGACGGGCGTTACGTTACTTTCGCCGATGAATTCACCCCTCGTCGCGTAGAGCTTATCTCCGATCTCGTCCAGGAATACTTGTCAGTTAGCCAACAAATCGCCAATGCTGACCATGTCCACGTGTACCTCATTACTGGCGAAGTCATCACGAAGCCTCATCGCGAGGTCACAGCCACCGATTGGTTGCGTCTGTATGTACGGGAACACGCGTTGACTGGGGGTGCGGCAGAGCTAGCTCGTTCGGCTTTCTCGGCGTTGACGTTGACTCCGGGGGAAGGGTGGTCTGCAGCGGCCGCCCGTGTACTTTCAGTATTCCGCGCGACGCGTGCCGATCCCGAGCGACCGTACATGACCGAGCAGGCTTTGTTTTGGCGTTTCGCGACCCCGGTAGCGCTAATCGAACTTTATGACCGGGTTGTCGAGGTCTTGCTTCCTAACCCATTCGACCGAAACGGAGTATCCGCGATCTTACACGAGACAGCGTACGAGACAACTTCCTCTCTCGGTCCTTTGCGTATGGAGTGGCACGACCCCTTGGGGGAAGCGATGGCACGACGGGGTGTGACAGCAGAAAAGTTGTTTCGCAAGTTCGTTGGCGTGCTATCGGCGCGCAATGCGTCGTACATCACGCCGCCGCCGCCGCGTAAACATTTAAAGGTAGCGGGTCCCGACCGTCTTTTTACGATGGCGGAGGCACGGTCGCTGTTCGCTAACTCGGGGACCGGCGCGCCCTCGGCGTTGCCACCCCCCGTGCTGACTCAACCTTTCTCTGCTCTAGCGCCTGCCCCCGTACCAGCGCCGCCCGTAGCACCACAGGTCGCGGCGTATCAGAACCGGACCGCCACGGCTCCCGGAGGCCATGGCGTGCCGTTTGAAGCCCGTTCGTCAGCGCACCGGCCGGCCCCGGCCCCCTCTGCACCGGCCGCGGGTACCGCATCAGCCCCTGCTCTGACCACCTCCACGCCGAGCGACACCCGACCGCCACCGTCCGCGTCGCGGACCGAGATCATCGACTACTTGCGCTCGCACGACGTGTGCTACCGCCATGCCTTCTCGGGCACCTGCCGGCGCTCCCCGTGCAGGTGGAACCATGCGCTTGTCCCACCGGCCCTGTACAAGGAGGTCTCGTCGCGGCAAGGAGCTGGCCGAGGCAAGCATCGCGTAGCGTCGCTATCACCGGGACAATACAGCTTGATGTGCGAGTTCGGGATCTTGTCGGAGGGAAGCGACGACGACCAGGCCGAAAGGGGCGCCGCTTCAGCAGCGTCCACTGGCTCTTCCTGAAGGTGCGCCCCAGGCGATGCGGACGCAAGCCTGGGGGACCCGTTGGCGGCGGTGGACCCCTCGTCGGGTGAGGAACAGAACAGCAGAGACCAGTTGTGGGTAGCAGGGCAGATTTGGCATCGGCATCGGCGCCGTAGACCGCGTAAGTTTGAGATTCTGCTAGACACCGGTGCAGGAGGCGGTAGCTACATATCCCTTTCCTTATGGCGTGGGCTCAAGCGACTCATTCGACGACGTGTTGACGAGAGTAGGGCAGGGGCTCTCGAAGCTGCTAATCCTCGTGACAGTGATACCCCTCCGATGCGTATTCTGGGATCCGTAGCACTGCCAGTGTTGTTCGACGGCGATTCGCGAGTGAGGGACGTAGAGGTACGCGTGGTAGACGGGTTGCCTTACGGATTCATCGTGGGAGCAGACTTCTTTAGGCGGAATGCTAGCGTGCTTGATTTCAGCTCCAGCAGAGGCTTTAGGCCTGTACCAGCAGCGCCCTGGGTGCCTTTTCTGTCGACGACACCATACGCCTCCCACGCCGCAACCCCACTCCGCAACGCTCGGGACCAGTTTAGTCTACTGACGGCTACCCCCGAGAACGCCCCCGAAGTGCCCGCCGTTCCCACAGATATGCCCAGCTACGAGGATGTGGTGTGGGAGGACGACACCTCCTTCGAGTGGGACGTGCGACAAGTGCCGGAGACCACCGTCGTCGAGGGTTTCACCACCCGCGCGGTGGAAGCTGCGGCTGTGGGGCCACAACCGCAGGACAGGCAGCTAGTGATGGTCTTGC